CATCCCCTCACATACCTGTATGTCGCCAACATATCCCCTCTGAGTCTCCTCTTCTCCAGGCTGAAGAGACCCAGTTCCCTCAGTCTTGCCTCATACGGCATCCCCTGCAAACCGGCCACCAACCTTGCGGCCCTATGCTGCACTGACTCTGTAATGAGGGGCCCAAAACTGAGCACAATACTCCAGTTGTGAGCACACCAGAGTCATATAGAGTGGTAGTAATACCTCTCCTGATCTAGAAGCCACACTTCAGGCTATGCAACCAAGGGTTGCGTTCGCTCTCTTAACCACCCCATCACACTGCTGACTCATGTTTAGCCTGCAGTCAACCAGTACCTCGAGGTCCCTTTCATAAGTGCTGCTCTCCAGCCGCTTGTTCCCTAACCTGTACCTATGACAGCTATTCCTATGCCCCAAATGCAAGACCTTGCACTTATCCACATTGAACGCCATCCTGTTGTCTCTGCCCACTTCCATAGTCTGTCCAGATCCTTTTGCATCTGGAGTACCTGCTCCTCAGTTGTGGCCACTACTCCAGTTTTAGTATCGTCTGCGAATTTGATCAGCAGACTGTTCACCCCTTCTTCCATGTCATTAATGAAAAGATTAAACAGGATCGGCCCCAGGACAGAGCCCTGGGGGACCCCGCTTGTCATTGGCCGCCATCCCGATGATTCCCCAGTAATGGTTACCTTCTGCTTTTGGTCAGTCAACCATGCCCTAGTCCACCAGACAGTGCTTTGTTGTATCCCAAAACTCCTCAGTTTCTCCACCAGGATATCATGGGGCACTTTGTCAAAGGCCTTTCTGAAATCCAGGTAAACCACATCCACTGCATCCTCTCCATCTAGCCACCTTGAAACCTTGTCATAGAATTCCACAAAGTTTGTCTGGCAGGACCTGTTATTGTGGAAACCGTGTTGTGTGGCCGCCAGCCTCTCTTCCCTATCTAGCATCGCTAGATCTCTCTCTATTATGAGCCTTTCCATTGTTTTTCCTACAATGGACGTAAGGCGAACAGGTCTATAATTCCCCATGTCCCTTCTACTACCCTTTTTGAAAATTGGGACCACTGAAGCCACCCTCCAGTCCTCTGGAACTTCACCTGTTCTCCACGAGGCCTCAAAATGGAGGCCAGCGGGCATGAGAGAACCCCTGCCAACTCTCAAAGTGCTCTCGGGTGTAACCCGTCAGGGCCTGGCGCCTTTGTAATGTCCAATGCCCTGAGGAGCCCCTTGACGTCAAGGGGGGTGACTCTAATCTGTTCCCCTGAGTCCCCAGCCTCATCTAATCTCCTATGCGGATATCCTCCATCCTGCTTTGGGGAGAACACAGAGGCAAAATAGTCATTTAGCATCTGTGCCTGTTCCCTCATATCAGTCACTGGATCTCCTTCCTCCTTATTTAGTGGTCCCACTACTTGTCTCCCCTTCCTCTTCCTATTTACATGCTGAAAGAAATTGTTTTTGTTGCTCTTGATATTCCTGGCAAGTCTCAGCTCATAATCAGCCTTAGGCTTGTGAAGAATCCTGCAATGGGCCTTCTCCTCCCGGTATACCCTTTTGTATATTTTCCCCAGTACCCATTTCCTATGGAGGTTCCTCTTTCATCTAATCCCTCTAACCACCACCTTTCGCATCCATGGCAGCACACTCCTCCACCTCCCCACCTTACTGACTAGAGGTATCGTCAAGGCTTGTGCCTCCAAAACCTTCCTTTTAAGTGCTATCCACCCCTCCTCAACTCGCTTGCCTTCCACTAACCTATCCCAGGAGACTTTCCCCAGTCTGGCCTTCAGTTGGCCAAAGTTGGCCCTCTTGAAGTCCCAGCTTCTAGTGCTTGACCTGTTGCATGTCCCCAGTCCCCTGATCTCAAAGCAAAGGATGGAGTGATTACTTGCATCCAGAGCTCCCCTACTCTGTACTTCACCTATCAGCTCCTCCCTATTGGTCAAGACCAGGTCAAGGATGTTTCCCCCTCTCGTCGCCTCTCGGACCCTCTGTGTGAAAAACCCTCCCTCTATAGCTTCTAGGAAGCGATGTGACCTGGCTGTCACCGCTGAGTGAGTCTCCCAAGTAATATCCGGGGGATTGAAATCTCCCATAATTGCTGTGTCTCTCCCCCGAGATATCCTTAGAATCTGGCCTGTCAGGACATCATCCAGGGTCTCAGGTTGACCTGGAGGGCCATAACATACCCCCACTGTCCGGTCTCTTTCCCTGTCAAAACCCCTAAGTTTCACCCAGACTGCCTCTACCGAATCCCCATCTGTGCTGCATTCTATCTCACTGCATCCTATCCCTTCCCTGACTTATAAAGCCACGCCCCCACCTCTCTTTCCCTTCCTGTCCTTTCTAAACACGGGATACCCTTCTATGTTCACATTCCTGACTTGCCTTTCATCCCACCAAGTTTCTGTGATTCCCAGCAGGTCATACCCTCCTATGAAATGTGGAAAAGATGAAAGACACTGGGAACAGTCAGTTGAACACTTACAAACAAGAGGATTACATTGCCAAGAGGGAGGTATCGTCCTTCTGAGTTTTGGTACACTTACTCCTTTGATGTTAGGAGTTGGTCCCTTCCTTCTTTTCCTTATGCTTAACAAACTCACAACAAACCCTTTGGAGAGCAAATTTTTAAACAAAACTTAACAGACTTCAGTCTGGTAGACAGAAGGAGGGGAAAAACCATAGCAAGTCTGAGCATTTGTCAGGCATAGGATGGGTTGTTTGGTTAACACACCACATTGCATTGCTTGTTTGCAGTGTGACTTAGCATGTATGAATCCAGCCATTGATCTCATTTTAATAGGTTTGGTAAAGGAATATTTTCCAGTAGATTAAACCCAATGATTGTTGGTTTAAGAAATATATTTGCAAAGAAAGAACTGTAAATCAGTGAACTGTTTATACCAGTTGTTTTGTTCCTCTCTTGTAGATTTTTTCTCCCTATATGGCAGCCTATGGAAGCCATTCCTGGAAGCTGTGAGTGTCAGTTACAACCTTTCATAGATGTGCCTAGGGCCTACAAAACATATAAACAATGGTAAGTTTTAAAAAGAATTGTAGAATCATAGAGTTGGAAGGGGGCAAAAAGGCCATCAAGTCCAACCACCTTCTCAATGCTGGACTCCAAATTAAAGTTTTCCTAACAGATGGCTGTCCAGCTGCATCTGGAATGCGTCCAGTATGGGAGAGCCTATGACATTCCTAAGTAAATTGTTTCATCATTCTATTGCTGTAACAGGAAGTTTTTCCTATGTTCATCTAGAACCCAGCTTCCTGTAAACAGAGCAGATTATCTTAGTATCCTACACACAGTGATAATTAAAAAGAGATCCTGGCCCTCCTATGTGTGACAACTTTTTAAGTACTTCAAACTTTTTAAGAGTTTTAAGTACTTTTTAAGAGTACAACAATATTTCCCCTCAGTCTTCTCCAAATGAATCATGCTTGATTCTTTCAACCTCTACTCACAGGGCTTTGTTTCTTTGTTGCCCTCCTTTGAACCTTTACCAGTATGCTGTATCTTTCTTAAATCTTGAGTACTGTCTTTTTGACAAAGCCTAACCAGTGCTCAGGAAGCACAGGAAAGTACTTCACATGACTTAGAGGTGATACTTCAATTAATGCAGCCAAAATAGCATTTGCCTTTTTTACAGCTTTATCACATTGACTCATATTCATCTGGTGATCTGGAACAATTCCAAGATCCTTCCCACTTGTAGTATTGCTGAAACAGAAAGGACTTTTTTAAAAGGGACTAATTTCCCACTATACAAGAAAGATCTTAATGTCTCTGATAACCATGATGGAGTAGCTGCTGACCTCGAGCCAGACATCCTGGAGTGTGAAGTCAAATGGGCCTTATCAATATGCCAGCAAATTTGGAAAACTCAACAGTGGCCATAGGATTGGAAAAGGTCAGTTTACATTCCAATCCCAAAGGAGAGCAATGCCAAAGAATGTTCAAACTACTATACAATTACACTCATTTCACATGCTAGGGGTCTATGTGGGTCAAGAAGCAACAGTGAGAACTGGACATGGAACAACTGATTGGTTCAAAATTGGGAAAGGAGCACGGCATGGCTGTATATTCTTGCAGTGCCTGTTCAACTTATATGCAGAGCACATCATGCAAAAGGCTGGGCTAGATGAATCACAATCTGGAATTAAGCTTGCTGGAAGAAATATCAACAACCTCAGGTATGCAGATGATACCACTCTAATGGCAGAAAGTGAAGAGGAACTAAAGAGCCTCTTGATGTGGGTGAAGGAGGAGAGCGCAAAAGTTGGCTTGAAACTCAACATTAAGAAAACTCAGATCATGGCATCCTGTCCTATCACTTCCTGGCAAATAGATGGGAAAGAAATGGAGGTAGTGTCAGATTTTATTTTCTTGGGCTCCAAGATCACTGCAGATGGTGACTGCAGCCAAGAAATTAAAATATGCTTGCTCCTGGGGAGGAAAGCTGTGGCAAATTTAGACAGCATACTAAAAAGCAGAGACATCACCCTGTCAACAAAAATTCATATAGACAAGGCGACAGTTTTCCCAGTTGCAATGTATGACTGTGAAAGTTGGACCATAAGGAAGGCTGAGTGCCGAAGAATTGAGGCCTTTGAATTGGGATGCTGGAGAAGACTCCTGCGAGTCCCTTGGACTGCGAGGAGATCAAACCAGTCAGTCTTATAGGAGATCAACCCTGACTGCTCTTTAGAAGGCCAGATACTGAAGATGAAACTCGAATACTTTGGCCATCTAATGTGGAGGAAGGACTCACTGGAGAAGACCCTGATGCTGGGAATGAGTCAGAAGGGGCCTCCTGGGCCATCTTATCTGACCCCCTGGCTCCTACCAGCTTCACTCATGACATGCCTACCATGTTCATGTCCAGCCTATCCTTGGACACCCTCACCAATGGAACTTCTACCACCTCCTGTGGAAGCCCATTCCATACCCTAGGAGTTCTATCAGGAAGTACTTCCTGGCATCCACCTTGAATCTTGGTTCCTTGACTTTTGCCCTACTGAAACACATCCTGCCCTCCTCCACAGGGAAAAACAGGTCTATACCAACCTCTGTGTGACACCTCCTCATATTCCTCTCCATGTAGATCAGCAAAGTGGCTGGTGACCCCCCAAGGGAAGAAGATGCTCCAATCTGTCCATCACATGCTTGATGTGTGTGCCCAGCAGGCAACAGCTCTCTCTCACCACCACTTCAGTACCCCTTAGCCCAATGATGAGTCCCCAGTGATGACCACTCATCATGGTCTCTTCCCAGTGTTGATAGATGGCTGTGGTTTGGCCCTCATCTCTCCTGCAATGGCCCCCTGGCTGCATCTGGCCCCAGGCTGGAGTTCCCAAAAGGTCAGTCCCCCAGGTCCTCATCAGCCCCAGCCTCCCCAAGCAAAGAAAACCTGTTTCCCAGCTCCAGGTTGGCTCTAGGAGATGGAGGAGCCTGTGCTGGCCTCCTCCTGCAGATGACATGCCTCCATGTCTCCCTGACTGTTTCTTCCTCAGCCCTTCCCCTCATCCTTCTGCCTGGAAAGAGGATGCTCCCAGCCAGCCTGGAGAATTCTCTCGGCCATGTAAAGGAATTGATCACCCTACAAGAAAAACAGAACAAACAATTTAAAAAAAGACATAAGGGAAGAATGTCCCTGGGCAGCCCGGGCAGCAGCTAAGGGACACAGACAAGAGATATTTCCAGCTGAGTGCAGCTTAATAAGCCTCTGATCCTCTGCACAAGCTCCTACCTTGCCTTCTCCAGTTCCCTGGCCACTCTCTGCACACTCTCTGCTGCTCTGCCAAGATCGAGAAGGAAGAATGAATATGACACTGATCATTCTTATACTGCTAGTAGCAAGGAAAGAGCAATTTCCATCAAGATTGTTGGGATGTATGCATGTATACATTTGTGCGGGTGCAATGTGTGGGTTCTGACCCCATGTCAGCTGCATGTGTGGCACTCACAACTGAGTATGGTGTCCATCCCTGTTCTAAGGATTAGAAACTTAATGTCTTTTAAAAAGGAGAACAACAACAAAACAGAGAAATGCTGAGATTCTCTGCCAAGTACCACATCTTGTGCCTTCAGTGCTGCTCTTGCAGAATTGCAGCACACATGCAATCTAGCCTGTGGTCTTCATAGAATCATATGTTGGAAGGGGTCATTTAGATAATTGAACCCAGCCCACTGCTCAGTGCAAGAATCCAGCTTAAAGCATTTCTAGCAGATGACTATCCAGTAAGTAAGGGGGATTGAAATTCTTCTCCAACGTGTCTCTTCTATATCCAGGGCTGAAATAGTAGAGGAGAAGGAGCCATTAAGGTAAAATCTGATGGCTTTAAATTTCACTGTAGTTTCCATTTCTTCTCATTCAAGATGACAGAGAGCATTGATTGGTTACAGAGTCAGAGTGGATTGTGCAAAGTTGATCGTTATACCCCCACTGATGAGGAGGAACAGTATTGGACGGTAAGATGACAACTGTTATTTCACCATGAATACTTTTGCAGTGGGGAGGGTAAGTATGTGCATATGGGAGGGCATATCTATATGAAACTGTCTGTAGTATTTGATTAACTATGTATAGTTGAGTATGAGGAGGAATGAATGAAAGAAAAATCAATACATTTTTTATAGAAACATATACCCATTTTATTTATTTATTTATTTATTTATTTAGAGAACTTCTATGCCTCCCCATTCGCCGAAGCCTCGGGGCAGCTCACAATCATGAACAAGTAACATAATATAATTTAACAGTATAATTTAAGTCGCCCTGCCCAAAAAATAAAATAAATAAATAATATTAACAATTAAAATAACGTTTGAATAAAAAGGTCTTCACCTGGCGCCGAAAAACAAATAACGACGGCGCCAGGTGGACCTCTCTGGGGAGCGCATTCCATAGATTGGGCGCCACCACTGAGAAAGCCCTCCTCTGAGTACTTACCCTCCTAATTTCCTTCACGGAGGGTTCCTGGAGAAGGGCCTCTCCCGCAGATCTCAAGGGGCGGTCGGGCATATATGGATGCAAGCGCTCCTTCAGGTAACCAGGACCCAAGCCGTTAAGGGCTTTATAGGTCATAACCAACACCTTGAATTGGGCCCGGACTTCAATGGGAAGCCAGTGAAGCTGACGGAGAACTGGAGTCATGTGAACATAATGTCCAGTCCCCGTCAGCAGCCTGGCAGCTCTATTTTGAACCAATTGAAGTATCCGGACTGTCTTCAAGGGTAGTCCCACGTAGAGTGCGTTACAGAAGTCAAGTCGGGAAGTCACCAATGCGTGTGTCACTGTCGCCCGGCAGTCATTCTCCCTGTAGGGGCGCAGCTGATGGATCAGCCGAAGGTGAAAGAAAGCACTCCTTGCCACCACTGTCACCTGAGCTTCCAGTGAAAGCGCTGGGTCGAGGAGCACTCCCAAGCTGCGGACCTTGTCCCTAAGAGGTAGTGCAACCCCATTCAGGACTAAGTTCAATTCACCTTCCCCGAAGCCTGATCCACCAACCAACAGGACTTCCGTCTTGTCTGGATTGAGCTTCAGTTTATTGGCTCTCATCCAGCCCCTTACCTCGGCCAGGCACCGGTTCAGCACAGCCACTGCCTCACCTGGATTGGTAGAGAACGAGAGGTAGAACTGGGTATCATCAGCGTACTGATGATTCCGCAGCCCACACCTCCTGATGATCTCTCCCAGTGGTTTCATGTAGACGTTAAACAGCAAAGAGGACAAAATGGATCCCTGCGGTACTCCATGGCATAGCTGCCATGGCGCAGAGCCATAGTCCCCCAGCACCACCTTCTGGAATCGGCCATTGAGATAGGAGCGGAACCACTGCAAAGCAGTGCCTCCGACCCCCAATCTCGCTAGCCTATCCAGAAGGATACCATGGTCGATGGTATCGAAAGCTGCTGAGAGGTCCAGGAGAACCAACAGAGACGCATTCCCCCTGTTAGCCTGGAGTTGACCAGTAGCCCAAGATCCCTTTCATAAGTGCTACTCTCCAGTCACTTGTCCCCCATCCTGTACTTATGACACCCGTTCCTATGCCCCAAGTGCAAGACCTTGCACTTATCCACATTGAACACCATTCTGTTCTCCCTGCCCACTTTTGGATCTGGTGTATTTGGTCCTCAGTTGTGGCCAACACCCCATTTTTTAGTATCATCTGTGAATTTGATCAGCACAGGTAGTTTCAAAGGGATACCATGTCCCCCCTCAGTCTTCTCAAGGCTGAACATTCCCAGTTCTCTCATTCTCTAGTCATAGGGCAGTATTTCCAAAACAGAATTTGCCCTTTGGACAGCTGCATCACATTGTTGGCTCATACTTAGACTATTGTCCAGAATTACTCTGAGATCTTTTTCTTTTTCAGTTCTGTTGAACCACATATTCTCCATCTTTTCTCAATGCATTTGGTTTCTTTTTCCTAGGTGGAGGATTTGGCACTTGTCCTTACTGAATCTCATCTGTTGCTTTCAGTGTTCAAGTTTATCAAAATATCCCTGAATCTTCAGTCTATCTTCTAGGGTGTTTGCTATTCCACCCAGTTTTTATCATCTGCAAATTCCTTGTACTCCCTCATCTCAATCATTAAGAAAGATGTTGAAGAGCATTGGGCCCAGGACTGAACCCTGTGGCTCCCCACTAGTTACCTCCATCCAATTTGAGAAGGTGCCATTGATGAGCACTTTTTATTTCTCATTTAGCAGCCAATTTTAAATCCACCTAATAGTTTTCCCATCTAGTCCAGTTTTTGCTAAATTGCTTATCAGAATGTCATGTAGCACTATGTTGAAAGTTTTGCTAAAGTCCATGTAGATTATGTTCACAGTGTTTCCTCTGTCCATTTGGGAGGTTACCTAGGCAAAGAATGAGATTAAATTAGTCTGACAGGTTTTATTTTTGATTAATCCATGCTGGCCACCATTTGAAGTAACATCCTGCATCTTCTGATAAAGTTGTGAAGTATGAACTGAATAATATGTTTCCACAGCTGGCAAAATTCACATTGTTTAAGACAGACATATTGGGACAGATCATGTGATGGAAAGTTCTTTAATATTTAATGTCCTGTCTCTTGGGATTTAATGCAAGGTCAAAGCAAATGGATTTTCCATGCTGTTTTGACAACTAAAGGATTATTATTACAACATTTGGAGGATAAACATCCACCTACAATAATATAGTGGGTGGAGGATTTAATGAAACTTTCCATTTTTAATGGGTGGTATTTAGATATAATCTACAAATTATAGATAAATATGGACATTTTGGCTGCCTTTGTTATGCATAATTATTATGACTAATTATTTTAATAACATAGTATACTCTGTTATATACTAATACTAATAGAGAGTTGCATTTCATGATTTTGCTAGTCCTTTGCTCTAATTGTACTTGCTGTTTCAGATAGCTGGCAATTTTCTTGGATTAGGTTACATCCATTATACTGATACACGGACTGTCCAAGGAGTGTCTTCCACAGAATTGAGAGCGACCGGTTTTTTACATTAATTTAATATGATAATCATGAGTCCTAACCCACTGTAAAATTGTCTTTTGTTTCATTCCTTAGACTGACTCAGCCAAGCTTTTACAACAAACTTCCTCTGATCCACTCAAAGTCTTGAGCTGGCTCCGAAAAGATCTGGAAGAGTGTTCAATCAGAGTGCAAAATGTGTTGAATGCCAGCAATAATGCAGGTGGTGCCAGGTCAAGGGAGCCATCTGTGGGGAGGCAAAGCATGCCACACCGCAATATGCATTCTCCTGGTGGGTACAGCGTCTGTGATGAGGAATTCAGTGTGAATGTCAGCTCCAACAGGGGATCTCCTAGTTTTCACTTGGCAATGAAGGCTGCTTGTCAAAAGGAATCCAAGGAAGAAGAAAGTGATGGTTCTACTTCACCCAATACAAATCCTGATCCTGATGAAGTCTCTTTTTACTGTAATAGGCTTTCTAACCTTGCCATAGCAATGGCACGCAAAGAGATGACCGATCGGTCAGATGTCAACAACACATGTATACATAAGTCACTTTTTGCTGCTTCTGGAGACCATGGTCACAGGTCTATTGGAGTGGATACAGAGGACTGCAAGCCAAATCCATCCAGGATGTGTGAATGCAAATATGAAGAAAGTCCCAGTTCTAAAAAGAAAGCTTCATTTTATTACAAAGAAGAAAATACAGAAATACCTAATAAGAGTGAACCTTGCAGAGATGGAACCAAAGGCTGCAACCATAGGAAACGCTTTGGTCGAGATGAATATACCAACTCACTGAGTAAAGGAATATTGGTTTATGCCAATAATGTGGTTTCAGATATGATGGTCTCTGTTATGAAGACAATGAAAATCAAAGTGAATGACTCTAATGTAGCTTGTGCAGTTTTGAAAAAGGTATTGCTGAAGCACTCTAAGGAGGTTGTGTCTGACCTGATAGATTCCTGCATGAAAAACTTGCATGATGTTACTGGTACACTCATGACTGACTCTGACTTTGTTTCAGCAGTGAAACGGAGCCTCTTCACCCAAGGAAGTCAAAAGGCCTCTGAAATTGTCCAAGCCATGCTGAATCGGTTACATAATGCTCTTATCGTACAAAAGCAGGTGAGCGAGAAGGCCAGGTCACAGAGCATGGCCTTTGCAACTCTCAAGACAGGTACAGGAAGTGATGCAAAGAGTCAGAACATGAGGTTTTCTGCCACAAAAACAGAAACAGTTAAAGACAAGGAAATGACATGTGCAGAAACAGTTGGCAATCACATCATAAAGGAGGGCCTCACTATGTGGCATCAGAAACAACAGAATAACACTGTAGGATCAAATGTCCCGCCATCAAAAGCTGTCTTGAATCCAGAAAATCAAGACTTTTCTAATCTTTCAACAGATTCCTGGGCAAGAGACCTGATTGTGACAGCATTACTGCTGATACAGTATCATCTAGTCCAGCAGGAAAATTCTATGAAGGATGCAGCTGAAGGTGGCAGGTCTAGTAAGGCAGCTGGCACCACTTTAGGGTTTATGTCTCAAGAAACTGGTGGCAATTTACTGGCATCACCAAAACAATTTGATACATTAAAACAAAATGACGATGAACATGTTGAAGCAAATACTCAAAATGATATGTCAAGTGTTGTTGTAATGCTCATCCAGAAGCTCATCAATGAGACAGTCAACAAATTAGGAGGAAACGCTGGGACTTTGACGATAGATGAAACATACAAGAGTGGTTACAGATGCCCTGAAGGACCAGGGGCATCAGGCCTTTCAGAAGTAGATCACTCTTATGAAGAGGCCATATCTGGACTAACCAAAATGATTTTGGATCAGTTTGATGTCAACAGGAAGGAAGGAGGCAGTGGGCCATTCATTGACAACCTGGTCGATACAGTGACCAAGTTGTGTCTCATGATAGCTAAATACAGCAATCCAGAGTCAGGTCTTGGAGATATGGGTGATGGAGAAGATGCCTCTGGGCCTATATATTCAAAGGGCACAGAAACACTGGAAAACCGAATAGGGTCAGGTGAAGACAGTGCATCTGGGCACAAAGTGGTTGTGACCAACCAGAATGCTCCTGAAAATATTCACAACAAACAACTCCAAGCCATCCTTCAGTGGGTAGCAGCTTCTCAGTTAAGCATTCCTGTTTTGTACTTCATGGATGATGATCAGGAGACCTTGAATAAGGTAAACAATGAAAGCTTTTTTTAAAAAAAATATGAGGGGCATTCACACAGGAGAGTATTTAATTTCTGCATGTGTTTTAAGGATATTCAGTTTATTTTCTTTTGTTTTTCTTAATATGTTATAGGTAATTGTCAATGTGTATTTTTGGTTAGGGTAGGAATGTCTGGTGGAGATACTAACTCTTCCCCCTAAATTACCCTCCCTGGAGAGATTAGGATATTTTGGGCACTGCTACAGAAAAGGCTTTTCTCAGGGCAGTGGAATGCTTCCACACGAACATTTTCAAAGTTATAGAGATTTCCAGCACACTCAGATTCAGCTTTCTCCTTCATATTATCATAAAAAATTGCTGTAGGGATGACATAGGCTGCAAGCCAATGTACACTTACCTGGGAGTAAGCCCCACCAACCATACCAAGATTTGTTTCTGAGTAAATATGAAAAGTATATTTGGAATCCTCCATAGTTTGTAAGTTTTATTATATAATTATGGAAGCTTTAAAAGGCTACTTTAGAAATGCATTTATATCCACTTTAGCTTTGCAGAATTTGCCTGCCTCAGGATCATTCACATGTTTTAATGTATTTGATTTTACTGATTGTGAGCCGTCCAGAGATGCCATGCATAAGGGATGGCATATAAAAGTTGTAAATAAATAAAATAAGTATTTCCACAGCACAGAGATAACAGTGGGTTCTGATATAGCCAAGAATGCATTGTCCACATGCCAGTAGCCATAGAAGGCTCAAAAGGAAAAGGCCACAAGGCAGGATCCTCCTCCTCCTCCTCCTCTAAGCAGCCCAGTGAGGACTACCTTGGGAGGAGCACACCAGCATATGGAAGAAAGACTGAAATAGAGTATTCTGGCTCACAGGACACTGAACAAGACCAGTCCACACAGTAACCTTTTGTTGTTGGACCTGTTCCTAGTTTGTCTTTATAATGATTCAACACTGAATATGCCCACAGTAGTCAGTGGAAACCGTGAAATAGATTTCTTCCTCCTCACCTTTTTAAATTCAGTATTTTGGATCCAAATCCGGTCATGCCATTGTTGCCAGACCAGCAATGCAATTTACAAAACTGGGGTGGGGGTGTCCAATCACACTGGCTCCTTCTGCACCATGTATCTAAAACAGCATTTGATGCAGTAATAGGCACAGTCTGTGCCTTCTGCAGGTACTTTTTAATTGCAACAATAACTGAAGCGCCCACGCTAGGCAGGTGCCCACTTGGAGGAGGGCAGTACTCACCTGCTTCTCAACTGAACAATTGCATTGCCAGTCCAAACAGCTCTTTCTTGTGGAACAGTGATAGGTAAATAATGCACTTTCCCCCAGAAAAATAAATCAGTAAACTCCTTCTTGACATAGTTGTTGTGCTCTTGTTTTGCTTATTTGTTACATTAGCTATCAGGCTGTTTGCAAAATGTTCAAGGAAAATAAAGGAAAATAATAATCAAAGAAAGTACAAGCAAACATAACATTAGTGACTTTTTAAACATATCTTTAGATCTTGTTTCTTTTGATCTTTGGTACACACTGTTGATGTTCCACTGTTTCTGCATGATAGGAGAAAAATCTGTATCACCTTCCCTTAATATAGGAACATGCCAACTTTTAGACTGTACAGAACTCTTGCTTTGGAAGGATGAAGAATTAATGTAGTATTATTATTCAATAATGCTAGTATTATAATAGATGTGTATTTCAGTATATCTGTAGTATAATGAATACCTATTTGATACCAGTTTAATTGTCATGGCTTGTCCCAAGGAATCCTGGGAATTGTAATTTGGCAAAAGCTGCTGAGATCTGTTTATTTCTGTACCCTGGATCTATTCACAGAATAATAGTGCCCAAATTTCTGCTATGGGGAAGGAAGAACTTTTAAATGGGTTTAATTTGTGTATGTGTTTTGTAAGTGCAACTTGAAGGAAGAAGGATAGATGGATGACCAAATATCTCTCAGTCGGTCAATGATTAAATTATTAAATTCATCCTTGAATTACAGTATCTAAAGCTGTAATATTCACATCCTTTTTCAGTCCATGAGCACATTTAGAAATTGGAGAAGCTGATTGCCATCACAAAATGACTGCCTGGGAACATGGCCAAATTGCTGCTTCAGGGGCTTGGCTAGTCACAAAGGAAAAATGCTTGCCCAAAAGGGAGTACCAGGCAGAAGATGCATCTAAACACTACATGCTAACTACCCATAGCACAACAAATGTCCTTCCTCAGGAGCAGGACAGTCAGTGACTTCAGAACCCTCCTGCTCTGCCATTGGCCAGAAGATAAGTTCCCATCAGAAACACTCATCTCCCCAGGAGATTATTGCCTGAGTTTACAAAATCAGGTAAGCATCCTTTTAAAGGCTAGCTTGCTCCTCAAGGAGCCATAGGGCAATACCCACACATACCCTCACACACAGTGAGAGATAGAAGGAAGGAGAGTTGATGATGATGACAGAGGAAATTGACTATCGCATATATATTTGAAGGAGACTGAGAATGCAAAAGTCTTGGTGATTGTGAATTATTACAATGTGTCCATTTCTTTTCATAAACATATCACATTCCTGGATTCTCCCCACCCCACTTTTCAACAGCTTCAACAACTCTCCACAGTGGCAGTGGAAAGGGGCTACAGCGTGGGAGAAGTGATGCAAGCAGTACTGAAGTATGAGAAGGAAAGGCAGCTGGGAGAGGCACTGGGGAACTTTGTGCGGTTGCCAGTACTGGACTGGCTGCTTCGGAATTTGTGAACACAATGTCTCTCCTGCTTTTTCTTCCTTCACAGCATAGTTCTGTCAACCTTAATTGCAGCACTCATTTGTCAGATATGATATTATGAGTTTTACTAATACAACCCCCTGCTGAGCAGTCATATGAATAAAACAAGAAAATACTTATGTAGTGGTTGGAATACTCATTTCTAGACAAAGAATGTTCTCATGTTCTTTGAATAATGATGTTATACTACATTGTTCAGTTGCAAATACTTTAAATGCTGCACTCTTGCAAAAGCGCAAGTTGTACTATATTCAACTAACAATTTCTCAGTAGACATAAACCTTGTTTGCACATTCTAGCCTTTCTCCCATCCTCACGTTTGTCTAGGATGTCAGCTTGAAGAGAAGAACCTACTGTATCCTTGGAAGCTCTTTGCGTGATACAGGGTGCTGATATTCTATCTTCCTGGAGTGTGTAGAGTTTTTGTGTCCATTACTGACATATCTTGAATGCATGAAGAGTCATAAAGCGGCTAATTATTTTAGAATATAATGAAACAGGTAAGACTGACAGAAGCGAATGGAAGTCAGGCAGGAGCAGAAATGTAGCATGGATGCAGAAAAAACAGTTGATTTCTAGCTGACATTATAACCCACTTGTTAAGAGTACTACAGCATGAAGTAGAAGATCTAAACTGAAATGCTCTCCTGGTTGATAGCATCATTTTCTCCTCTCAACTCAAAAAGCTAACCGTTAACTCATACACATTAACATTGTATGTTAATTACAGCCCCTACAAATGTTTGCATTAGAAAGCAGTAATTTCAGAATCAGTATGGGTAATAATATTATAGAATTGTAACCCAATTAAACAAAGATTAAGTAAATCATATGAGATATAGCTGCTTTAACCTATAAAATTGAATAAATTTGCATATAAGTTGAAACAACATGTGTCCTACAAGGCATCATCTTAAAAGGGCTGTACCTTTTGTGTATAAAAGTGAGTATGCCTATTTTGAAATGGTGTTTTTCATTTACAGTTTTATAAGTTTTTCTGTTTATGATAAAGTTCTTAAAAATAATTAGGCATTCATGAGAATTTCATTCCTGTTTGCAAATTCTATGAGTAGGTCCTATTGACAATCCTGAACACAAAAAGGAGCATAATTCTCAGGAAACCTGTGACATTTCACTGTCATTTGTATTTTAAAGTGCCTAGTTGCACAAGTATATACTTCTGGAAATGTGCATGTACTTAAGTGCACACTTGCACAAATATGCCTTTCCCCCAGATCCTGTGTGTGGTTTGGATGCACAATTTTTAAATAGGTAAGACTAGTAAGCCACATGGTGGGAGCAGCTCAGCCCACCTTGCAAGACATTCTCTAGCACTCACTTCTGTGGGTCTGTGCTTTGATCCTTAGACTATGAGTTATTCTGCCTTCTTTGGAATGGGCTATGGTTCAGTGGCAAAACACATTTCTTGAAATCTCTCTACAGCAATTTATTGCAGTCACTTTATACAAAGAACAAGATTTTTTTACCTTAGGATGCATTAAGGCTTTGCAGCTTCAGGTCTGCTTTGGCTGAAGACTTCTGGTTGGCATTGTGGCAAGACAGCTGTGAAGAGCGGGGGCTCCCGTTATCACGCCGGTATCTGTACGGAAGTGAGCCGTGGGAGGCTCATCCAAGCCCTGTCGGGGCAAAGATTAGATTGTCCGAGCATTCTATTGGTTGGTGTGGGGTGGTGGCTCCACATTTACTGGGAGAAATTTGGGCTTTTCTCAATCAAACAGCATAGGGGAGAGATAGCTCCCTACAAGCCATAGACGACCGGATAATAGCATAGAATAATTAGCTAAAAGTTCATCGGACCTGCTGGGTGAGCACTTTTATTTTTCTTTCTTCATTACTACCTGTGAAAGAACTGCAGCTGTTACTAATTGGCATAAAGAAGAAATGAAAGCCCCTTTGATGGAGGGAGGAATTTTCCCTCCCCCCACAGAGTTTTAAGCGGCAACTGATCTGGGGGAGAGGAACTGAGGCTTCTTTGGAAAGTTTGAGGCTGGAGAGAAAGACCTCATTTTTCTAACCTCCCCAAGGGTGAAGAATCAGAATAAATAATGTGGAATAAGTGATAGTAGAACAAAGCTTACTTGCTGAGCGGCCTTTTTTTTTTTGGATCCTGTTTCTTTGTTGTTACAGTTCTTCAAAATAATTCTTATGCCAAGAAAAACAAACTTGCATTTCTTTTGTGACATCATTTAAAAAGACAAAACAGTCCTTTGCTGCCACCCTGTGGCTATTGGATTTATAGCAAGTTCCTTTTTTTCCTTTTTTTCCTCTTCTCTATTTTTCTGTTGTTGTCTTGTAATTTTTGGTAAAAAATTATTATCATCATGAAAAAAATGCATTTTTCTCCTCTTCAGCACCTACATCAGCTGCTCAGAGTCCAACCCACCAGCCTAAAGCGGCAGATGTTGAAAAATATCAAAAAGAGCTACAAATGACGCTTCTGGCGATACAGACATCCTTAAAAGCTTTGCAAGAATCTCAAGAGGCGATGTCAACACGACAGGAAAGCATCTCAACTGAACAAAGATAACATCTTGATAAATTGGATAATTCTATTAAGGAGATATCAACCCAATTGGCAGGCGTTCGACTTAAAACTGAACAGAATACACAAAAAGTATAGCAAGCACATGAAAAATTGGAAACGGTAACTATAGAAACACAATTAATTAAGCAAACAAGTCACTATGGGATTTGCTTGGCATACTAGAGATGGAGAAGGCATCTAACTACTTGAGATTTCAGAATATACCCAAAGGAAAGAATGAAGACTTGTGAGATTTAATGATTAACATGCTGGCAGAGCTGTTAGAAATAGAAAATGAAGAGATTGGAGCAGGGATTGAACTTATTTACAGAGTCAACTCAACCTATGCCAGAAAAAACAAACTTCCAAGGGAAGTCCATGTCAAATTTGCTCTAAGGTCTATAAGAGACAATGTTTTGAGGGCCATATGTGAGAAACCTTTAAAGGTGGATGATCACCATGAGGTGACGGTTCTGAAGCAAATACCATGGAGGATTAGAGGACGAAAGAAATACTTATTCCTTACTACAAAGATGATTAAGAAAGAGATTATGTTTAGGTGGCTAATACCAGAAGGAATATTTTTCACCTGGAACTCTACAAGATACAAATTGGACTCGATCTTTAAGACACAAGAGTTCTATGAAAAATTTAGAGCTATGCTTGAAGAGGAAGAACCAGGTGCCTCAAAAGAAGGAGGGGAAGGTGCCGAATCAATGGAATTAACAATGTATCACTCTGAAGAAGGAGAAATAGTGAATACTGACTCACAACAAGAAGTACAGACACTGGAACCAAAGGTAAAGAAAAAAGGTAGAAGTGTAAAGGCGAAGAATAAGTAGATAAGTATATACTCTTTAAACATGGCCTTTAAAAGGGAAGGAAAAATTGAATTGTTCTCTTTAAATGTAAATGGATTAAATGGACCCTCTAAGAGGAGAAGGATTCTCAACTTCAAAAACAAAAATTAGATATTATTTGTCTACAAGAAACACATATTAAGAAACAACATGCTAAACTTTTGGAACGTTCAGAGCTTGGAAAGTTATTTATATCTTCTGCTTCTCAAAAGAAGAGAGGTCTAGCATCATACATTAAGGAAAAACTAGACCCTAAATATATACTGGCTGATGAGGACGGTAGGATTCTGATGGTTGGAAATTACAATGAAACTTAAAAAGGTGCTTTTAGTGGCGATATATGCCCCAAACGACCATCAGGGAATGTTTTACCACAGATTACATGTTTTACTCTTACAAGTGGGCTACCAGACTGTGTGTGTAACGAGAGATTTCAATGCAATTGTGGATAAGAAAATGGACCATAAGAGTGAGATTAAAGGAAAAAAGGGCAGGAGGATACTCCCAAAGTCTTGTTCTAATATGATTGAAGAACTCAGATTGATAGATGCTTGGAGGCATAAAAATCTAACCTCTGCTAAATATTCCTTTTACTCAAATAGACATAGGTTGTGGTCTAGAATTGATATAGTTTGGATAACCCCAGACTTAATACCAGATTTGGTAGAAGCTGAAATAGAGGCAAATGTCTGGACAGATCACAACCCTGTAGCTATATCACTGAAAGGAACAGTAATGTTGCCCAGATGGAGCTTAAATTAAGCTTTATTAAAGGATAAAAAAATTCATGGAAGAGATAAATAAGGAAATGCCAGTATTCTTTCAAATAAACAAAGCGGAAGAAACTTCTTTACAGAATGTCTGGGATACAGCCAAAGCCTATGTCAGGGGATTGATAATAACATATTCAGCAAAAATAAACAAAAAGAAAAAGCAAGAACAAGCAAAAATAGTAGAAAAATTGATGAAATGGGAACAAGAACTACAGGAAGATCCATCCAAAAAAACCCTTAAGGTCCAAATGAATATTCTAAAGCATAAATTGAATCTCTTAGACACAAATGAACTTACTAAGCAAATGAAATTGGCCAAACAGAATTTTTTTGAAAATGCTAATAAACCAGGGAGATGGTTAGCCTATAAAGTAAAGAAAGAGAGAGATGAGACTGATTTCCAAATTGAAGGATGGAGAAGGATGACTACAAGTTCAAAGTATACATATTAAGAAAATAGCGGAAGAGTTTTTTGCAAAGCTATATCAGAATGATGAGATTGCAACTGAGAAAGTAAAAGAACACATCCGAAAGGGAGACCTGCCAAAATTACTGGAGAAATACCAAAAAGTATTGAATCAAGAAGTAGCAACCATGGAAGTAATAGAGGCAATTAAGCAGCAAAAGAACGATAAAACTCCTGGCCTGGATGGGCTGCCAGCAGAGTTTTATAAATCCTTTGAAGGAATCTTTGCTACGCTTCTTAAAGATATATGCAATGCAGCACTGTTAAATGCCAAAATACCAAATAACTCGGACAGAGGCAAATATCACATTAATACCGAAAGAAGACAAGGACTTGACGCAGATTCAAATTATAGACCTATATCACTATTAAATGTGGATTACAAAATTTTTGCCTCCATAATGGCAGAAAGATTGAAGAAGTATCTAACAGACTTTATTCACTCAGATCAAAATGGTTTTTTGCCTAAAAGACAAATG